TGTACACGATGAATGTATGAAAACTTTGACCACAGTTGTATTATTTCAGTTGAATTTATATACAGCCTATATTTTTCACACTGGTGTTAAAGGAGAGAGCAAAAGAAAAACAGCGCGTGGAGATCAGACTCAGAGTATCAAACAGCTTTCACATCAGTCTTCTTTCCCGGGCTGCCTCTGCGAATCAGAATGTGACTGCACCACACTGTGGCACATATTGGTATTACACGGGTGATCTTACATCTTTAATCCACCACAGTACAGAGAGCAACTACAGTTCAACATGCATGGAAGCTGGAGAAAGGTCAGCATTGCCATCTATTAGGAAAATGTTGGATTATGATGATCATATTGGACATTAATCACAGCCTTGATTTCTTTGATTGTTGCGTCCCAGAGTGTGGTTAGTTGCAGCCTAGACAGCAAAGCAGGTACTGCAGGTGGACCACAGGTCATTTAATTCACCTTTAAAGTTTGTCATTAAAAATGTTCAACAAATTATTAAAATCAAATTAAAAATAAATAAAATAAAAGTATTGATTAATTAGAGAGATTTCTATATTGACCAATTTTTGAACTGGTTGGGTTTTATTTCTCTCGGTCTCTGGGTGACTCAGTTGACCGAAAACCTCATCAGTGGCAGAGAAATGGAAGAAGAACTATTAATGGAGGATCGACAGCAGGAGAAGCAAAATGAATCCATTGAACCCAAACACCTGGGCCCAGGTTTGCTCTGCTCGGGGACGAACGACACTGTGTTGATTAAAGATGTAATCAAAGGTTTGTGTGACCCACAGAAGACTTTCAGATTCCAATGCAGCATTCTTCAATGTGAGAACAGCTGGTCCTCTGACACCAGTGTGAACCATTTATATACCATTAAATAGACTCATTGATACTAAAGCCAACTGTACGGGTCAGTAAAATGACCCGTTTTCATTAAATAAGCCCTCTGATTTAAAATGAAGTGATAAACAACAAGTTAACCCCAAAAACAACAGAGCGTTACTCCTGTGTGATGTCTCACATAGTAACTCACTTTTTGCTGACAAAAACCCATCAGATTAGTGTCATATGATTGAAGAAAAATCAAAAACGTCATTTTAAAAATCACCACTGATTATGAGTAAGCCTTCGTCCCTAAATGATGATGCGCAGCCCCTCTGTCCTCACATCAGTACCTCCCACAGAGCCAGGGAAAAACTGGGAGGCTGGAGTCCTGCTCAGTGATGGGAGCTAGACAGGAAGGAGGTGCTCTGTCTTTTTCTCAGTCTCTCCATCACTTCAGCTCTTTCTGCTGTAAAATCAGCTCCAATGAGCTGATCCTGAGATAGAAGGGCGGACGATTCCCTTTGGAGAAGGCTTCGATCCAAACCAGGACATCTACAACACAAACAGGACAGTAATCATTAGCACAGACCGAGTATAAGGCAGCAAAGGTGAAGACATGATAATACACATGATGACATTTGGCTGTGTCGGGAGGTTGGTCTGCTCTATAAAGGCAAAGCACAGTGACTACCACAGACTGTATAGAGGACATGGAGGTAGCTGCCATGTCTCCAGTCCCTCAGTCCAGTGACTGAGTCCGCAAAGGTTTTCCCACAGAGATTTGTACAGATGTCTTTTTGCAAAGAATCCGCCCACCTTGTACTCCAGAGTTTGCTTCAGCATGTCCTCTTCTTCTCGAGTGAAGTTCAGCAGCACAGATACAGCTCTTATCAGCTGGTATGCCTGTCAGAGCAAAACAAGCAGCGCACCTTCAGCCTGAGTGTGGAGCACAGCTGGGCTCTGTCATGCAGTCAACACAAACCAGACTCTTGCAGAGCCACACGTTACCTCTGCCTCTCTGGATGACATGAACTTGAGGACGACGTGCTTGAGATACTCAAAATTAATTTCTCTTGAGTCATTGAGGTCCGAGGTGTTGGTCACTGTGGTGTTGGAGGTCGGGGGACTCGGGGTGGATGCAGGTGCAGGGTCAGGACAAACCCTCTCCGGTTTTTCTGCTCTGCTTTCAGGTAGCTTCTCCCTCCCTTCAGCTTCTGACTCAGGTTTTAATTTCTACAGAGCACGAAGAGAGAAAAGCACTCAAAGAATCAAATCATTCTGCATTTACACCCGATAAGCAGGCAGAATCCAATCAATAACAAATTTGACGATTAAGAAAGAACTTGATTGTGTTAGGTTACAGCAACAGTACAGGTTTGTGTTTCTTTGGAACCTGAGGCCTGTATGACACAGGACTCTGGCTTATCCAAGCACCTTCAGGGTTCACGCCTTACTAATTTGCCGTAATAACTTGTTCCATGAAGCTAACGCGCTCTGGAGAAGTCATTCTTTACTCTCAAACCTAAAACAGGCTGGAGCAGGTTATGTTCAGAGTTCTGTATTAAAAATCATCTGGACGTCGTTTGTTTACAGAATGTTTCACGATCCTCTGCTGGGCTACGACCTGTGTGCACAGCCTGTGTGCTCTATCTGACCGTACGTGTTTTACTCCAGTGATTTGGAAAATGTATAAAATGTTATAATTCATTCTGATCTGCTGCTGTGGGACAGTAAGCTTTAATGCCACACTTCACTTCAGACATATTTCATACTTTTTATGGCTACAGCTGACTTTACATTAATGGCAATCTTATGACAATAGGAAAGATCAGCACTGAACAGTCATTGTCTTACCAGTTCTTTCTGCAAAGTCCTCTTCAGTTCTGCCAGTCTCTGCTGCAGCTGCTTTATGGTCTGCAAACATCATCAGAGAGTTTTATGTGTGGGGTGAGTTTACCTGCCTTCATGCATGGAGTTTTTTTCATTCATAGCTAGAGGACCAAATGTGAATTGCCAAAAAGCCTCTGACCCTGTTCTTGTCGCTGAGCTCTTGCTCCAGCTCTCTGTTGACTTTCTGGATGTGATCCAGGTCATCCACGGTCACGCTGCCGTTCTGATCCTCCTCACAGACTACACTATGACTGTGGAGCTGCTCGGTCAGGGTTTCCACCTCCACTTCCAGGTAGGAGATCTAGACAGTTCACACCAAGCATGGACTGTTAATTCAGTCTGATTAAAGTGCTCAGTCCGTCTCAGTTTAACAAGAAACCCCATCAAGATAAAATACTTCATGAGTGTGAATGCCTGGAAGTCACCTGCACACCGATCACATTATAAAATACAGCACAAGTATGTTCAAAGATGTCTGAGCGTGTGCAGGTGCTGACCCGAGCCTGGCAGCTGTCCAGCTGCTGAGTCTGTGTGAGCAGCTCCTCCTTCAGGCTGGTGACCTGGGAGTCTTTGTCCAGCTGCACCTGCTCCAGCTGGGCTCTCAGCCGCTCAGCCTCCTCCTGCACCTCCACCAGGGATGCCTGTCGCCCCTGCACCTCTGCAACGCAAACACAATATTTTGGAGACACAAAGAGCTTTAAACTCTTATTGTTCTAAAGCTCTTTATTAAGCGCCATCTCTTTAAAGATCTTTAGTGCCCACGCGTGTACCATTCTGCAGGGATCTGATGTCCTCCTCTCTGAGTGCTAGCTTCTCAGTGACAGCGGTCACTTCCTGCTGTGAGCTCTGTAGAGCCGCACTCAGCTCTGCAACCTGACATCAAGCACAACACGCACACAAACAGTGAGGTGATGTACACACAGAGTTACTACATTATTTCAGCAGAGGTTTGTGTTTGAGTTTATCCACTGACCTGTGTTTGCAGGCCCTCCTTCTGTCGTCTGGTTTCTTCCAGAGCTTTGGCGATTTCTGTGCTCAGCGTCTGTCGGCTGTTTAGCTCCACCTGGGAAACACAGACAGACCAAAAATGTGGGCTACAAATAACCTCTGCTCACTTCAAAAATCATTCAACAAAATGAACTTTAAAGTTGTATTTTTCGTCTGACAGAGTGAAAAACCTGCGCCATTAAACAAATGATTACAACTTATGACTCAAGACGCACTAACGAGGCAAATGTGCCGAAGAATGTGAACACTGGTAATATTAGTGAGTAATACACGGAGTAACAGCGACAACAGCAACAGGGTGAGCAGTAAGCCTGCGCTTCTCCAGAGCAACTGCCAGATTAGTAATTATACACCAGACATATATCAGAAACACACAAAGTGCTGCTTCACTGCGTTTCCAGCATTTCCACTCGATACAATCTACACTATTTCTATCAAGCCGAAGATAATAATAAAAATGAGATGTTAATGAACATTCAGACTAGGCTCGGAGTTTTGGTAGATCGACAGGCTCAGGTGTCCAAACCAGCCAGCAGCCTGTGAGCCTGCACGGCGGCCTCTTACTGCTGAGGGGTAAAAAAAACCTCACATTTATTCAGCGGAGATGACAAATAATGTGAACTGCTCCATCATGAAGAATATGGAGGTTTCGAACCAACAGAAATAAGCTGTTTGTTGTAAAACAACTTTTTACTGTGTTGGAATTTTCTGATTGTTTCTCTTGTGCTCCATTTTCTGGACTGGACCGTTTCTGTGGTTGTTCAGCTTCTTTGTCCCAGTAGTTTTCATTTCGTCCCCCAACACCACAATTATCCCTGTTTAAATGAAATACATGTTCATATTCTTGAATAAAACAACCCAGCAGTGTGTTGTGGTTCTTACCCTGCACTGCTCCAGTTCCTCTGTCCGCTGCTTCAGAGCAGAGTCCACCTCATTCATCTGCTTGTCCAGATCAGCCTGCCACATGTGCACATCACAACAAGCACTGATTAAGGTTGGCGGTTGGACGAATATATCGTTTTTACGAGAGCGATTTATTTATTTGCCCATGAATAAGTTTGCTAATAATGTTGGTTGAATCTAAGAGAGGCAGTCAACAGAAAAACAGCCGTTTCAACTGCACGCTCCTCAGAGTGCGCCCAAACGCAGCGATGCATTTCAAAATGTCACACAATGGTGGGAAGGGAAACAAAGAGAAACGGGCTTCTTTTCTCCACTCTAAAAACGTCAAAAAGTAAGTTCAAAATCAAGTCTTTCATCTCAATAAATGATTCATCCAGAAAGTAGCTATAGCAACACTAAAACAAAGAATAAAATAAAATATTCCCTCCAGACAAAACGTATGAATTCTAAACGCTCAAATCAAATGATTATCGTTGCTCCGCCCATCCAAAGTCTGCGCCTGAGTGAATATATCCCACGTCGTCAGTTATCGGACTGCCGGCTGGAAACCTCATTACTGATTAATCCCTCTTTTGGAAATTCCATATGAAAAACATCATGTTCAGTCTGGGGTCTGCAGGTACAGATCAGACACTGGTCTATCAAACAGAATAAAAACAAATGACAGGAGGAAACATACCAGCCGGGTCTGTAGTGTCTGTTTGTCCTTCTGTAAAGAGGCGACACAGTCCTCCAGTCGGCTCATCTTCTCCCGACTCTGCTGCTCCAACAAAGACAGCTGCTGGTCCAGAAAGGCTTTCTCTGCACTCCGCTCTCCCTCCTGAGCACACGGACAAAAGTATGTTTGGACATGCACTCTTTGCCTTCACTGCAATCATGCTGAAAGTCCATGTTTTCCCTCCAAGAAACAAAAAACTGAGCACAAACATGATCAGACTTTGAAAGAGCACACTGTAGCCTTCAGTAAATAATATCAGGCTCCTTTCTAAAGGCTCAAACTGTGCTTGGAGTGGCCCTCACCAGTTTCTCCATGTTCTGCTGCTTCTCTGCGATCTGCTGCTGTGCACTGCTCAGCCTCTCACTGCTCTCTACAACCTGCTGCTCCAGCTGAGCAATCTGAAAACCACAATTCAATCAATATGATATGAATGAATACTCATCGAGGCTTCAGCATACCAAATGTCACCATGTAAAGTCTTTTCGATTTCACTTTGCAATCTCAGGTTAGAATCCTTTTATCTGTATTATTCCTCGAGCCGGGTGTTTGTTGTCTCATCGCTTACTTGTGTGTCTGTCCTCTCTCTGTAGGCCCTGGACGAGTCGTCTTTGTGTCGCAGAAGAGTCTGCAGCTCAGTAATAGTGACACTCATCCTCGACACCTAAGGCCACAAGAAACACAACGCTTAAGTTTGTTTTTTTATATCTTCTTTTGTTCAAAGTAACGCGAGGAATGAAAACCAGAAAACAGGAGTAAATAAACATGCAGCTGTTTTAAAAAGAGGAAAATGCCACAGAAAGCAACAGAAATGAAGAAAAAAACAACAACTTCATAAGTAAAGTAAGAAGTTGAACATTTTAAAAAACACAGCTTACACTGTTAGGCCCACTTCGATCTTATGTCCCCTCTAAAGTGACACACTGCTGACTACATCAGACTATTACATTACATTGATTTACACAGGGTATGTGTATTTGGCCCCATACAATCTTCTCTATCGCGTATGAATGTGCTGTTTTACCTGAGCCTCCAGAGAGCTGACGGCATCAGCGTGGTCTGTCCGGACAGCCAGCAGCTCTGCTCTCGTCCCGTCCAGACTTTGCTCCAGACTAGACTTCTGGAAAGACAACAAAAAAATGAATAAACTTATATTTGTGCTTCTAATTTCTTTTTCTCATTAGGAAGCCTGACTACAAAGACATCTGTGGGCCCATGAAACACAACAACACCTCAGTGAGCAGGTCAACTGCCAGCCATGCGCTACTGTCATAAAGTAGACCCAAGACTTGTTCTTAACCTCCTGCAGCAGCTCCTGTAGGTGCTCATCCTGGCTCAGGTTCCCCTGCAGTCGTCTCTCCAACGATGTTGCCTTCTTCTGAAGCTCCACCAACAAGCGCTCCTTGTCCTCCACCGTCACAGCCGCCTGATGATGGAGCAACAAGCCAACGACAGGTAAAGAACATTTGGTTTAAAAGACTGAAACAAGTGGAACAAACTAATGTGAAACATTATAAAAGAAGATTCAATTTGTTTACACGTCAACAACAACGTAAACGTGGAACAATAACAGGTTTTTGGGTGTTTTGTGAATTTAGTTCAAAATAAAAAAAGTTAGTCGAAGCATTTTTTGCAGGAACGAACAGCCTGAAGTCTTCTTGGACTCCAACTGAGCCGCTCCAGAATTTTCCCCGAGTCACGCAGCTGATTGTGCTTCAGGTCATTGCCTTAAACACTGAGCAAAGCTTTTCCTGCAGGATGTTGTTGCATCCATGTTTCCCTCCGCTCCAACTGGTGTCCCAGTTTGTGTCACATGTACACAACCCCGCAGCATCATGTTGCCACTACTAGGTTGTGCGGAGGGTTTACTTTATGCCACACATACTGGTTGAAACTCTTTCATCACACCAGAAGACTGTGCATCTCATAGATACTACAGAAGCTTCTCAGACGAGCGGTGAAACGTCTTCAGGGAACTTGAAGAAGTCCGGTCGCTCTCATAGATGGACGTTGGCACCTTTGGACAAACTGTGCTGAAACTCTTAGTGAAGAAAAGGTTTTTCTGGTTTCTTCACTGTAAATGTCCGAGTGGCGGAGTGACGCACTAACAGCTGTGCGGCTGTTTATTTAGATGGATAGTCCAGGTTTATATCATTTTTAGCAAATAAAAATTAGTCCTGTTTTTGCTTTTCCACTGTAAAATGATGACGTAAAAAACGAGTATGAGCTATGAGCCAAAATGCAGAGGGTTCGAAAAATGATAACACATTATTTAAGCCCAGTTAGACACAGACTGTCGATGTTTAGCTGCAGGGCGTTACAGCTTCACTGCCCTCACGTTCTGACCTTTTGCTGCTGCAGCTTCAGAGCATCATGTTCTGTCTGTAATTCATGGAGGGACTTCTCCAACGTGGAAACCATACTCTGTGACTGAAAAACAAAGGCAACCAACAACAAGTGAATAAGCAGTTTTGGATGGTAGTGGTAGTGTAGTGTGCTCAGTGCTGACCTTCTGGAAGTCTTCAGAGACCTGCTGGATGACTGACTGCAGCTCCTGGCATCGTCCCTCTAGCTCGCCGACCTTCTTGTCAGCCTCCTCTCTGAGCAGCAGCAGCTCTTCTCTACATGGAGCCAATAAATGCTCTTTGAATTACAGCGTCATGTCACAAAATAAATCACAGTCCCACAACAAATCCAAGCTCACTTCTAGAACAAGCAACTAAATGTTGAAAATGCTGGCTCCCTCCACAAAAACCGAATGTTGCATTTTCCATACCGCTCTATCTCCAGCTCAGAGTTGAGTCTGCAGCTCTCCTCGTGCTGCCGTTCCAGAGTCTGGAGCTTCCCCCGAGCCTCGGCCAGCCCTCGCTTTGCCGACTGAATGTCAGCCTCCTTATGCTGAAGTTCCCGCTCTTGCTGGCTCAGCAGTTCTTCCTTCCTCAGCAACTGATAAACAGAATCCAACCATCATACCACGTCGTAAAGTGTTTTCAAACTAATGTAGAGACTCGCCAGTCCTGCACTAAGGTACAATCAGTGTACGACTACATAACTGACTGCCATTTTTCCTTAATCGCAAAATGTCAGGAAGAAGCTGGCACACCACATGTACGCACCATGTGTTTAACTTTAGCGAGCTCCTGCTGCTGAAAGCCCTCCAGTTCATCCAGGTCGTCCCTTTTTTGAAAGAGTGCTAAGCTTTGTTCCATCATCTCCTCTAGCCGAGCTGACAGGGCAGCCTTCTCCTAAACAAACACACCTTTGAGGTAAATATCGTTTCTCACATGCACCATTTATTGGATTCATGCAGGTGTACAGACTCTTAAGATTATGGATATGACCCCGGTTCACTGATGGCCTCACCAAGAGCTCAAATACCAATACACCCCCCCCCCGGCTGGCTACACTCCTGTCAGGACAGGGCCCACCTCGATAACTGGCAGACAGAGTCACAACAAGCTCCTGCAGGAAGCCTGCACTGCGTAGTAACCTTCCAAGCCATCCAGTCGTGGTTTCATTTCTTAGGTTACATGTGAGGATATGGTGTAGGGTTACGAGTGACTTCTGGTTACATCATAAGTCACAATGCAGATTTCCTGCTGCAGTAATTCAAACATTAGAGGGACTTTCACCTGCTCTGTAGATGCTGTAGACACACCCAACTGGTAAAACCTAGCAAATGTGTGGGGTAAGACAGTTATGCAGAAACCTCTCAGAAACTCCCTTTAAGAGAAACCATGAGGCTGCCAGACACCTGCTAGTAAAAGCAGCTGCTCCTGCTATCCAAGGGAAAGATGTTTAGACACAGGCCTCGTGTGGTTTAGTCCAGGACACAGGTAACTGGTCCTCGTCTAAAACCCCGAGTCCTGTCCAGGTAAACCTACAATGCATGGACTGGACACAAGGTATGCAACATAAAACCAACATGGCAGGCTGTAATAGTGGCCAAATACACCTCGAAGGTGTAGAATGCCTTACTCTCTTCTACCTGAAGAAATGATGGGATCACGGCCATGAAGCACTGAAATGGGAAGGCCTATGATTCAAATACGTTATGCTCATACAGAGTCCTGTAAGACCACGCTCTAGCACACAGAAGCTATAGCCATGATTAGCGTTTAGGCTGAGTGTTACAAACAGTTAAACCACCAGGTTAAAGCACTGAGAAGAATATTAGTGTTTTTCAGTTAACTTGGAGTAAAAAGTAATTGTACTTTTTTTAAAGATGTATTTCTTCCTGATAGAAATGCCAGTGGCACCTTAGCATCAGCTACAGGACAGCACTGCTACCTCTGGTGAGCCAATTTACAACTGAAATACTGGGAACAAGGAAGCAGTGGCAGAGTCTTTAGCCCAATAGTATACTTGTCACCAAGAGGTGTTTGAATAACATCTGAGGCTATGACACTATTATATAACACTGCTCTGGCCACTCCTGACACGAGTGTCACAGAGCAAGTGTAAAGGAGCCGGTATGACGGTATTTGAGATTTTGTTGAGGTCACGCAGCCGGCGTCCCCCACAGTGAAACACAAGACAAATACCATGAAAGAACCAGTTGTAAGGGTCTCTAGTATTACTATGCAGCTTCTTTTCCCCCCACAAGGAAAATTTCTCCTTTATCTTCTTTGTGATGGGATATACACCAAACGCTGCACATTGTTAGCAATAACTCAGCATATTACAAAGTAATGTTATTCTAGTAGGAATGTAATGACTGAAACTCTGAGGAATGAGTGTTACAGAATGATAATTTGCCCAACTGCTGGTGTAATGCATTTTTCACTCTTCTTATTTTGTGACCAGTTTAACATTCATTCCAATCAGTGAACAGCACAGAAATATCAGCTCCCCCAAACAAACTGCTGGGCTTTATCATTCTTGACCTGAAACAACTGCTCCCATAAACCCACCAGAGAAGTGTTTACTGAGGTCAAACGGACAAGAAGCCAAGGTCCAGTTTGCCATAGATCTTTACAACTGGACTTTTTCCTCTACTAGAGCGAAGACGTTACCGCCGTCAAGCCACGAGAAAGAATGCAGGCTAAGGTAATCCTGCACTGGGTCCAACCTTTAAACCTACAGACCACGTCCATCTTTTATATTTTTGTGGGGAGATTTTGCAATCTTCAAATTAAAGAATTATATTTGTTCTACATGTTTTAAAAGAAATGTAACTTACTTTGTCTGAATTGGCCATTTTCTCCATCCACTCCTGCAGGAGGAGGACAGAAAGTGTTCAGAACAAATCAGACCTCTATAATAAGTGAGACAGAACGCATCTTTACCTGATCTTTTTTCTCCAGCGCTAAAGCCATCCCCTCCGCCATTTTGGCTCTGCTGACCTGATGAGAGTCATTCTGTTCCTGGAGTTTCTTTATGGATGCTGAGCAGTGAGAGAGGGAGAAAGAGACAGACAGGACACAGAAAGGTTTGTATGTACCAAGCAGAACAGAAATGTTAAACAGCACAGAGAGCGGCGCCGTTAGTAGCTGTGAAACGTTGGGAGTCAGTTTAACAAGTGTTTTCATCCCAGAAGCAAAAACAGGCAGAGACGAGCAACGCACGACACGTGGAAGAAACAGAAAGGTAGTAAAGATCCTAACACAACAAAGCCACCCTGAAGAAATGACGCCGTCTAGACTAAAAGCTTAGAACCCCCAGAAACTGCAGAGTTCAACTCACATTACTACAACACAAGACAAATAATATTAGAGCAGCAAGTCCATCTTACTATGAAGGAAAACTATGCAGCAAGCAGGGAGGGACGGCAGAGAGGCCGCAGTGGGGCTTTAAATCGAGAGGTTTCAGGGAGAACTTGGAGAGAATAGCTGATAGTTTCAGTGCTAAAGATGAAATGTTTAACTCTTCCAAGATTCACTCATTAAGGATGTTGTTGACTGGATGTTCCAATAAGCTCTCATCTAACCACTTCCTCATCTGCCACACGACCCCTGGTGCTACTGTCAGAAGGTTTACATCACTTATCTCCCTGAACTAGTCCATTATTTTTGTGAGGGACAGATATCCTTGTTTTCAAAAAAGATGTTTACCTAACGTTTAGGCAAATTAGTCAATATTATAGTAGTATATATTAAATCTATTTTATTTTATCCATTCACTTTGCTTTTAATTTGAATGGTTAGTTGCTGCAAGCCAGCTCCATTGCTTTGCATCTCGTGTTTTCCTACCAACTGGTTGGTGGCCATGTTGCTGTTGTGGTTGTCCTCAATATCATGTCAGAGGATTCTCCAAATCTACCACCCTTGATAGCAGCTGGGGTCAGTGGATTCTGTTCTAGTCTTGAGCTCTGCTGTGAGCACGAGGGTCGCTTTACCTGAATCTGCACGACCCTCATGAAGGCTGCAGAGCAGAACAAGGAATAAAATCAGCAGCTGCAATCCAAGATGCTGAGGTTGGAGTGTATTCAAAGGTAGAGACGGGACAAACTGAAGTGTTTCAGATTAGCTGAGTCAGTTTGCTAAAACAGATGGCCAAAAAGTCAAGTTTAACATTTAAAGATTTTGCAAATCACCTGTTACTAAACTTAAAAAAGGAGGTTCAGCCAGTGTGTTTAATGCTCGAGGCTTTTAGTGTGAACATATAACATTTGCATACTCCAATAGATTTAGCTTTGCTTGTATTACAGCAGGTATAAAAACTTTGTTTGCATCAGCATCTGCCATACGCAGCAGCTACACACAGACCAGGTTCCCAAATCTTCCTCTCTAAACAAAGTGGAAAAATTCTATTGCTACACTTAATGAGTCACAAGCAAGTTGGTCTTGTTGTTCAAACCGTGCATTGGGGTAGGGTTTTGATATTTAGTTCATCACAGTGAATACAGTAACGTAAAACAATGTGAGAGACACAGCCCAACAAACGAGTATAGAAATATATGGGTGGCTGTACCAGGTTTAATAGACCAGAATGTAGCAAATGTTGGGTGTGTACCATTATTACAACAAACACTCAAACACTGAGTGAGATTAGTCTGCCTTTGGAGCTGCTGCTATATTTTCTGGCAAATTTGAGAAACCACTTAGCAAAAGCGAACAAACTGAGAGCAAAGTGACAGACAAAGCATGGCTCTGGAATCCGTGCTCTGAACACTGCATACCAGTGGTTTGGAAAAAAGCCCAATCCTACTTTGGATTAAAAGAAAAGAAAAAGCACTTCCACAGCAACCCTCTGAAGATATTAGCATCTGGAACCCTGAACCATCTCTGTGAGCGATAATGTGTCAGGTAATGTTTAGTACAGCTGACAGACAGGAAACAGAAAGGAAGCTAATTGGGAGGAGAGTAGAGGTACGTACAATCCTGATGCCTTTCTAATGCAATTTCAAGCTTCTCCTTGGTCTTCTGCATAATTCGCAGCTGCTCAGCGTAGTCTAGTGTTGGGAAGTAGGGTGATGGGGTGGGGTACCAACAATACACACACAAACAAGGAGAAAGAGGCAGATGACAGTTAAGAGAGAAGCAGGAGAGGAGGTGAACAGAAGGAGTGGGGGAAAACAAAAGGGAGAACATGGTTGAGAAATAATGGAAGGTAAAAATACTGATGATTTGCTTATCTGAGAAAACCATAATGGTTTAAAGGCTGCGTGAGAATCTGCCACCTTTAACCTTTTTCTAGGGATTGAAAGTCATTAAAGCTACTAAAGGAAAAATGTGCCATGATTCTGAGAAGAAAAAAAGGAGTAGTCAAAGGAGCTTGCAAAGAAAAGCGTCTGGACTTCTTTAAGTTGCTTGAAGACGTTTCACCTCTCATCCGAGAAGCTTCTTCAGTTCTAAGGTCAAATGGTGGAGAGTCCCAGATATAAACCTAGTGGGAGTTTCCCCCCACAGAGGGACAAAAGGACCCCTGATGATCCTCTAATCGCCTGAAGGTGTGAAACTGGGTGTGGGTCCCAATCAGCCAGAGTTTCGGGTGAGCTCATTGTGAAACCTGGCCCCACCTTATCATGCGATTTCCTGAGGTCAGATGGCCCAGGATGTGAGTGGGCGTTAAGGCCGTACATTTTGGGAGGGACACCCTTCAACTGGTGCGGGAGTATGAAAGGGAATCAAGGAAACTAGCGGATTATAGGAACCATCTCCGTTTCAACCTAAGATGCAGACAAAGCAGAGTTGTTCCTAAGAGCCTGCGCCTTGGATCCACTGTCAGGGGATACAGAGCAGACTTGATTCTACAGAGAGCACAAAATCAGCTTCTAAGTGAAAGGATAAGACAGGTCCATTTCACCATAGATGCCCTCCAGAGCAAGAACAGCCAGACTCTGCAGGAACTGGAAACCCTCTCCAATCTTAGAAGAGGTTTACAAGTTTGTGGACAAGGCTCAGCGGGCCCAACACTCTAAAGGAAAAGAAAGACAACGCAGGAAATTCCACACCTTGCTTTCAAAAACACACACTCCTCAGCCTGAACCGACACAACCCAGAGAAGAAAACACACCTGAAGACAGTCAGGAGAAATGAGTGAAGAACTTTTCAGACAGGAATCTCACTGAACCTGAAAAGAGAGTATTAGCCAAAGGACTCAATTTTGCCATTTCTCCACAACAGCTGCCCATAGTGGACCTCATCACAGCCACAGAAACCGCCATACGGATTAATACATTATCACAGACAGAAGCAGAGCAAATCATGATGACATGCTCTCCAGTGCCAAAGTCCCTCCGTCCAACCTCACAATACAAGAAAAGAAGGCCGTCGCCTCCCTGAGCAAAGACCACAACATCATTATTTTACCAGCTGATAAGGGAAGATGCACCGTGGTCCTAAACACAACAGATTACCACACAAAGATCACTACGCTCCTCAGTGACAGCAATACCTACGAAGCCTTAAAGCGAGACCCCACAAGCAGCTACAAAAAGAAAGTTATAGCTTGCCTTCAAGACTTTGAAAAGGACAAAATTATTGACCGCCTTACATATCACCGCCTTTACCCAGGGGATGCCATACCCTGCATCTATGGACTTCCTAAGATCCACAAGGAAGCTGTCCCACTCAGACCCATAGTCAGTAGCATAAACTCAGCCACTTAAACATTGCTAAACACCTTGCTACCATCCTTGCTCCTCTCGTGGGGAACACCCCACACCACATCAAGAACTCCACCGACTTCACCGACAAGGTCCAGAAACTTACCCTGGATCCAGATGAAACCATGGTGTCCTTTGATGTAGTCTCTCTCTTCACTTGCATACCCACCACGGAGGCCGTGGAGACGTCAGAAAACGACTACAAGAAGACAGCTCCTTGGAGGACAGGACCAACTTCACACCCGATCAGACTGCACACTGTTAGACCTCTGCCTCACCACTACATATTTCAAATACAACGAAGGCTTTTACAGACAAAAACATGGCTGTGCCATGGGCTCCCCCGTGTCACCTATTGTAGCCAACCTTTACATGGAGGAAGTGGAAAGGAAGGCTCTTGGCTCTTTCAAAGGAAGAGTACCCAGCCACTGGTACAGATATGTGACGACACCTGGGTCAAAATCAAGACACAAGAAGTGGAATCCTTCACTGCGCACATTAACGCTGTGGATAAAAACATCAAGTTCACCAGGGAAGACACAAAGGACAACTGTTTGCCTTTCCTGGACTGCGCTGTGCACATTGAAGAGAACGGCAAACTCAACATCGAAGTTTACCGGAAGCCCACACACACGGACCAGTACCTCCTCTTTGACTCCCATCACCCTCTGGAACACAAACTTGGAGTAATTAGGACCCTACACCACCGGGCAGAACATGTTCCCTCTAAGCCTGAAGGAAAAAAGAAGGAACACACACATGTAAAGGAAGCACTCAAAACGTGCGGCTATCCTAAATGGGCGTTCTTAAAGTCAGCAAAGAGGCACAGAAAAGAAGACCAGACACCAGCGAGGGAGGATAAGAAGGACAGACGCAACAACATTGTCATCCCCTATGTAGCCGGTGTATCAGAGAAACTCAGGAGAGTTTTCTCCAAGCATGACATCCCGGTGTATTTCAGACCCAGCAACACGCTCAGACAGAAACTGGTTCACCCGAAAGACAAAACGCCAAAACACAAACTTAACAATGTGGTGTATGCTGTACAGTGCAGCGAGGAATGCCCAGACCTCTACATTGGAGAGACCAAACAGCCACTTCACAAGCGCATGGCACAACACAGAAGAGCCACCTCCACAGGACAAGACTCAGCAGTCCATCTGCATCTAAAGGTCAAAGGTCACTCTTTCGAGGATGCCAATGTTCACATTTTGGACAGAGAGGACAGATGGTTTGAAAGAGGAGTGAAAGAAGCATCTATGTCCACTGTGAGCGACCATCTTTGAACAGAGGCGGGGCTTACGACACCAACTCTCTGCCATCTATAATCCAGTTTTGAGATCCTTCCCAGACGCCTTAACGCCCACTCACATCCTGGGCCATCTGACCTCAGGACATCACATGATAAGGTGGGGCCAGGTTTCACAATGAGCTCACCCGAAACTCTGGCTGATTGGGACCCACACCCAGTTTCACACCTTGGCTCAGGCGATTAGAGGATCATCAGGGGTCCTTTTGTCCCTCTGTGGGGGGAAACTCCCACTAGGTTTATATCTGGGACTCTCCACCATTTGACCTTAGAACTGAAGAAGCTTCTCGGATGAGAGGTGAAACGTCTTCAAGCAACTTAAAGAAGTCCAGACGCTTTTCTTTGCAAGCTCCTTTGACTACGATGACCTGGATGACTGAGAACCTTCACAGAAAAAAAGTAGTTCAATATTTATTTGCAACAGAAAAACAAGCCACACACAGTTAAATACTAAAAATAATATTCACACTGAGACATTAACACAATCACTTCATGGCCATCAGTCTGTGCACTGCAGCATGGAGAGCAGAGAAATCAGCTGCCCTGCTTTAAACTGGCCTATTAGGCTCTTCCTCATCTTCTGTCATATGTGTCACATATTAAGGTCAATGCATGTGCACGTAATCCCTGAGAGCCAAACAGCTTTGAAAAATCTGTTTCAGCCCCGCCCACCTGCTACTCAAACCTGTTTGCCATTTGATTGAAATGGGATTAAGCACAGACTTTTGCCTTAGTCATATACTTTACACGCTCACAATAACTCCAGTATTCATGCTGCCCAGCTTTGACACTGTGCAGTAATAGTCGTGCTGTGGGGCTCATAAACATGAAGCATTCACACTCTATTACCAAGACCATAAAAAGTCTAAATGCATGTTTGTATATATGATTTTCTTGTTGGTTTCCATGGTTTCTCCTGGCTGAAAGGCCTCAGTCTCATGCAGCTAATCCTCAAATTACCTCTACTCATTATAATTCTATATTTAACATATGCATCTTTAACTTGTGTGAGATAAAACTAAAATCCTTTAGATGTTCTCAGATTATTATAATTATTATCAGTTAAGACAGGGCGCACTTGCATTTAAATTGAACTCAGATTGCTCCTGAAAACTGCATCACTTCGGCTGCTTACACTACTCTTGTACATCATACCTGACAGCTTGGCCTCCAGCCTCCGGATCTGATCATTTCTTCTGAGGAGCTGGGCAGGAAGGTCATCCCTGGAGCTGCTGCCATCAGATGCCTGAAAATAAATAAAATAATAAAAAATTAAAAAAAATCAGACATACAGACGTTTATAGAAGTGGAACTGGTCAATCCATTGGTCCATTCATCAGGTGCTTCACAACAAAATAATGTTAGAACATAAAAACAAAAAGTTACACAAACACAAGTTTAAAAAGATGAGTTTTAGCTGTTCCTTTAATGTGATCAGCGAGTCTACAGATGCCAGGCTCAGAGGGAGAGTGTGCAGAGGCCTGGACCCTGTTGCAAAAGCTCCGTCTCCTTTAGATCCCAGCCTAGTGTGATGGACGGTCAACTGGTTCTGATCACATGACCTCAGTGACCTGCCGGAGACGTATGGATGTGAGGGTTTTCTTATGCACACTGGTGTGTCCATGCAGAGCTCTAGAAGTCAAAACCAGAATCTTAAAGTTAACAGGGAACCAGTATAAGTAAACCAGCAGTGGAATTGGAAGCAAAAGCATGAATGACAAGGTCAGAGTGTGACACCAATATTGCCAAGCATAACTTGGTAATGTTTCTTAAATGATAGAGGCGAGAACAAACCAGATTGTTAGCATCAGCATCCAAAGTTAAAAGTAACACCAACAATCCTGATAGAAGTTTTAACAAAGAGCAGCGAGTTTCCATGACCTTCAACACAAATCTCACAGTGGGACAGATATGGACTGCTTAGTCTTCATTACGTTTAAAACATGGTCAGTTG